TATTTAAAAGTATCAAATTGAAACGATACCCAAAATGTGTATCAAATAAAAAATTGATACAAATGGTTTTAATTTTATACACTTTGGTATCAATTTGATACTTTCAAGAAAACTGTGGTGCTAAATATATTCCTTTATGACTTTTTACATTTAGCACGGATCAGAACCACTTTTTTTCAAGTGTCGGTAACATGTCGGTAACAGGAATCTGTGCTTTGAACGCTCCCTATATATCTACTTATGTTTAGTAATAATTTTATCTAGTTTAAACTTTAATTTTCAATTATGTAAAATCATTTATTTTTACTAAATAATTATTTTTAGCACTAATTGCTAAAAAAGTGACATTTACTGACAATATTAGTCATTTTTAACTCAAAATTTAGAGAGCAATTTTATTTTTTCATGTTGCTTTAGATAAAACTATTTTTTTAAATTCATTTTGTTTCTTGTTTAGTTTCGAGTGTGTATTATAATTGAAAAAAAATTTTTCAACTTTGACAAGAATTTTTCCCCTGTTAGTGAAACTATAGAGTTCAAAACAAAAAATAGAGTCGGCAGTAAAAAGTCACAAAAATGAGTTTTTACATATTTTTTTTAAAAAAAAGTCACATTTTTTATGTACCTTGTTGGTCAATTTTCACCTTGTTTTTTAAAGGAGGGAAAAAAATCACGAGAGAAATATATATATATATATATATATATATATATATATATATATATATATACATTGAAAATATAGTTCCAATTTAGTTTACTTGTAAATTCTTTTTCAGTATTTTTTAAATATATTTGAAATTTTTTTTTTTAGAATATTTTTTGGTATATTCATATAAAATAGCGTATATCTATATTTATAGAATAAAATTTGTTATAACACTTGGTGTCGTGTCCTCAGAGAGAGAAGGGTCAATTAGTGTTTTCGTCTAGCGTTGAAATGATTTAATCAAATTCACCGGATATTTACATTTTAGTGTTGAGAGGCTAATGTTTACCACACGTTAGCTTTTCATCGTATTTATATATATATGTGTATATGTATATCCACCCTCTTTAACACTTATATACACGGAGGCCAATCCCTTGATGCTTGCGTTAATAATTAACCACCGACTGCGCGAAAAGTAGCTTTGCACTCTCGCATACAAGCTTCTTCAGGTCACGCCTCGTTTCGTCGAGAGTGAACATTTGCGAGGTTAAGCACTTTTCGAGATAGCACAAGACGTGATTGCTTAAATTTCTCTCTTCTCTATATATATATTATAATTCCAAATTACACTCTTGATGATGGTGATTTTTCACACATACATATTCTTAATTAAGAGAAAAAAAACATGATTTTTTTCTTTTTTTTTTTAATTTTAAGAAAAAAGGAATTCATTTGAGAAAATATAATTTGTATTTTATTGAAAAATTTTTCATTTCAAAAATTAATGGAGACATCTCTGTTTTTGTACTATGAAACGTATTAGTTTTTAACCAAATAATACCCAAAAATTAGTATGGACAATATTAATTTTTCGTATTATTTGGTTAGAAACTAGTACGTTTCATACGATTAAATATAGTAGAAAAACAATATTATTTAGAAGAATTTTCATTTAATAGCATTTCTACTTAGTCGAATTTTTAAATAGCAGAATTTTCACACTTCATCGAAACTTTATTTGACAGAATTTTTATTTGTACTGTCATTTGATAGCAATTTTAAAATCACTGAATTTTGATTTGACCGAAATTGCAAATGACCGAATAAATAATCGACAGAAAAGTTTTGGCGCGAATTTTAATATTAACTAATCAGAAATAATCAAGAAAAGTGTGTTTGATTAATTTTAAAATTCCGACTGTTCTGTCGGATATTTGTTCGATCATTTTCAATTTCGATCAAATCAAAAATCGGTAATTTAAAAATTGCTACTCTCTAAATCTGAATTAGTAAAAATGTTTACCAATTTAAATTAGTGACTCACTTTTTGCTGTAGAATTAGTTCAATTTTACTAATTCAGAAGCAAAAAGTAAGTCACTAATTCAAATTAGTAAACATTTTTACTAATTCAGATTTAGAGAGTATCAAATGATAGTTCGTACAAATCAAAAATCTGGAAAATAAAGTTTGCCTTAAAGGCAAACAAATTTTAGGTTATGTTTAGTGATAGTTTTATCTTAATTAAACGTTAATTTTTAATTGTATAAAATGAAAATCAGTTTCTGTTGAATATTTTCGATTTAATGAAGACATAAGTACGAGTGGTTTAAGAGTTGATCCACTTTGTGTATTTTTAATTTAAAAATCACAAACATAATCTTGACCGAATTCATTTCAAATCAGACAGGCTTGACTTGGTTGGAGCTGAAAATAATTTTCACCTTCAAAATGTTGTTCTTCAATGAATTTTAGACGACACGTATTTTTTTATTTTGCTGAAAAAAATTTTTTCTTTAAGTTATAAGGAGTTCAAATATATAAGTCGAGAACTTCGATTTGTTTAAAATGAAGAGAAAAAATCTTAAATGTGATGTAACTTTTTGAGTAATTAAGATAATTCACTTTTTCCTTTTGTGTCTGAAAGGACTTTTATTCTTCTTTCGAAATCCATTGGAAAATTTAAAAAATATTTAAAAATAACAAAATGGCGGCCATTTTACTAAAAAATTTTAATTTGAAATTACTCAAAAACCCCACCTTTTTTTTTGCTCAAAATTTTTTTGGGAATTGTGTTCATAGGGAGGAATATTGCCCACAAGAATTTAACTTGTGCCCGATTCTGGCACAAGAGAAAAAATTTTTTTAATATTTTTTAAAAGAAAAACATCATTTTTCTCAAAAAATACACTAGATATAAAAAAATGTCTCATACGTGTCGTCTAAAATTCATTGAAGAACAACATTTTGAAGGTGAAAATTATTTTCAGCTCCAACCAAGTCAAGCCTGTCTGATTTGAAATGAATTCGGTCTCTTGAAATTTTTTTTTTTGCCTCTAAGGTCCCGTTTCTTATAGAGTGTGATATATAGAACAAAAATGAGAAAGATTTAGATTAGTATTTTGAGTATTAGTAGTTTTCTATTAACAAATAGATTTCTACCAATAATTAGTCATTTTTAACTAACAATTAAATATTGTTGACTAAAAATTAGTCAAAACTGTTACTAGTTCATTCAATGAACGAATTGACACAGTTAAATTAGTAAAAAGTGACTAATTCAGATTTAGAGAGTACAAAACATTTAATGTGACACAATTTGAAGAAAGGGACCATAGAAACAAAAAATTGTAGGTTATGTTTTGAAATTTTAAAGTGAAAATACACAAAGACGTTCAACTCGTAATGCAAAATAATTATATTTAAGTCTTCATTAAATCCAAAATATTAAATAAAAACTAATTTTAGTTTTACAGAAACAAAAATAAACTTTTAGTTCGATTAAAACTGTCGTAAACATAACCTATAATTCATTTGCTTCTAAGGTCCCTTTCTTGAGATCGCATCACTTATATATATTTAAGTCTTCATTACAATTCAAAAAAAAAAAAGGAATAAAAACAAATTTTAATTTTACCTAATTAAAAAGAAATTTTTCTATCAATGTATAAAACTATCACTATAATAACATAACCTAAAAAAAATTTTTTTTTTTAACGTAAGATTCCTTCTCTCGTGGTGCATCATATTATAAATTGGAAGTCATCAGCGATTTCATCTGAAACTTTTGAAGTTGATATTTCCCGTCCATTTAGATTCTCTCTTGTGTTTCTCTTTTTTTTTTTTTTATACCGCGCTCTTAAAAGTCTTAAAAACCATAGTCATAAACATAAACTGTTATCAAGGGGTCTTGGCTAATAAAGAACCATTCCTATCGTCTCGTCGATCGCGTGACTCGAATATCGGTAGGTTGGATGGGTGGGGGTGGGAGGGAGGGGGTTGAATGTGTGCGAGTGTGTATGCGTTCAGGGTGAATGGTCCTTAATGTCATACGGCGAGTTACCCTCGTTCGGTCGTGATAAAAATGCAGCTTATTAGTCCCGAGGGATGTGGTATGAAACGCGAATGCGCGTTGTTCATTGGGTTTGTGTATGTGGTACTTCACATGAACGTAGAGAGAGAGAGAGAGAGAGAGAGAGAGAGAGAGAGAGTGAATAAAAAAAGAGAAAGAGAGCAGAAAAAAGAGTAGGAGAGTTGAAAAAAAAGACGCGAAGATTGGAAAGAAAGCAACAGAGAGACAGACAGACAGACATACATACATACAGAGTAAAAGAGAGAGAGAGAGAAAAGAATGAACGAACCAACACTAAAAGAGGGTTGGTTGATGGTGGAAGAGCGTCGTCGACGTCGTCGTCGTCGTCGGTGGTGGTAACCATGGGGCGGAAGCCGAGGCTCAAGGGAACCCACCACCAACGAATGAAGTGGGGGAAGGTTCCCTGTCGCCGCCACGCATTGATTTTGCTCGACAGACAGCCGCCTGTTGGGCTCTGCTCTCTCTCTCTCTCTCTCTCTCACTCTCTTTGCCTCTCAACCACCAACAACCCCATGAAAGTCTCCCTTTTGCACCACGTCGTGCGGGTGGCTCGCTTACAAAAGCTCTGCTCAAGTAAATAGGCACACGAGCATCAATAGACCACATCAACGACCGTTATTGTGGTTCGCCGGCAGTTTATCAAGCGTTCATCTTAAAAGCATGAAAAAATGGACCATTAATGTGAAATGAATTTAGCGCGACTAATAATTACTTTTTTTTACGAGAACCAATTATGTTAACATATTTTCTAAAAATGAATTTCAACTATAAGAGGTCAATCACTTTCAACTGTTAAGAGACATTTTCGCTATTATATGGTTGGGCGAAAATGATACTTATTGCTTTTTTTAAAGAATCGTTTTGCTAACCACAGTTTGCTGTGGCAGCGAACTATTTGCTGACACATCAAATTAGTGTTTGCTATTATAGGAGTCAGCAAATAGTTCGCTGCCACAGCAAACTTATTCTATTCGTGTAGCATTTGTTAATTCCTCTTTTTTTTTGTTTTTTACTTTTAACTCAGAAAACCCTAAGTGTCATTTTCGCTACCCTTTGTTATGCGAAAATAACACTTACGCTATTTAGAGTTAAAACCCTACATTCCATAACCAGATTTCTCGTTGAAATAACCAACATTTTGGTTAAATTAACAAGAATTCTGGTTATTCATTCGAAGAAAATGCAACTCACACACACATGATTGATCTCCGTTTAATAATAGTTTGACTATATACAGTTCCATATCAACAAATGGGCACCTTGTGAAATTGATATATATATACATATACGCATCTCGTGAATAAATTAAAGCCCGTGGAGTCAGACAAATAAGACAGCAAAACTTGAAAGAGATTCTGGCCAATTGCCATATATATTTTCAAGACAGAAAAGGTTGTATCTATATGCAGAAACATACTAATTTTACATATATATATATATATATATATATATATATATATATACATATCACACACATTGAAAGAAACGTAACTATATTACAAAGTGGTATATAAACTGAACGCGCCCAGGGAACGAGACACACATATATATATATACAAACATATAGCGAGAGAAAACAAATGACCAGTGTTGTAGCACTATAATCTGAAATATGGAGTTTAAGTAAATTGATATCGATTCTGTGAGAGGCGTATATATACATATACATATAGTCGAACTCTCGTGGGGAATAGCTACCAACAAATTACTCGAAACTTTTTCCACGATAGCTACTCGATTCGAGAAAGACCAACTTGGCAATGATAACGAAATGTGAAGTTGTAGAGAATCTCTTAGATCCAAACTGTCTCATCAATTGCCGTAACATTGTTCCGGAATTCGTTTGGCAAGACTATCTTACATTTATCAAATTGATACATATATATATTTCTGCAAAACTTTTTGTTTGTATATATATGTTTTTCTGTTTCCGAGTATTTTAACTATTTGAAAATTTAGACAATGAAAATTATTACCTCCATCAAGTTGACGTCGACGCTAACTTCATTGAAGTAAATTGTTGTTATTTTTTAGAAGATAAACATTAGATTTAAATATAGAAATATCCATATCAATAAATGTGGAATTAAATTTTTACTTTTTATAATAAATAACAAAGAGTTGAAAAAATTTTAAAATAGAGCAAAGCAAATGCAATATAAAATGATAAATTTTATTCACCCAAGATTTTGACGAAGATTAAAAACATCTATTTATGATGCGACTCATAAATTTTTTAATACTTGCTTTCTCATCTGAATAACAAAATTTAATGTAATTCAAGTGAGAGTTGAAGTTTTTATCTTTTACTGTATATTTATATGGCCGAATTCAAGTACTTTATTATAAACGCGTCATAAAGCACACGTCTTGGGGAGATAGAGCTTGAAAAGATTCGCATCTACAATATATATATATAGTAAAATTCATATCGTAATTTACCAAGCGTATCTATATATATATATATTTATATAATAATTGTTTGAGCCAAAAGTCATTCTGTTTTTTTTTCGTCTGCGGAAATACAAAAAAGCACAAAATCTGAATACCATAAATATACAGTTCTGATTAGGATTAAATAGAATTTTAATTATTTGAATATGAATTCTAATTATTCCAATCAGAATTCTGGTTATTCGAACTAAAATTCTAATTAGGGAAGAATTAATACAATTCTGGTTAGATTAATCGAAATTCTGGTTATTTCAATCAGAATTCTGATTATTCCAAGTAAAATTCTGGTTATAGGATATGTTTAATATTTTAATTCTGAATTTATAAATTAGAATCATGGCATATTTAACATTATGATTCACGTTATATATTAATCAGATTTCCGGTTATTTCAACCAGAAATATAGTATTTATAATCGTAGAATTCATGTTCGCTTAATCAGAATTCTGGTTAGGTTATATTTAAAATTATTTATCTTAGATTAACAAGAATTCTAGTTAGTTTAACCGCATAATTCTGTTTAGCATCTGCCGAATTCTTGGTATTTAAACCAGATATTTATTTAATTTAACCATAATTTTGCTTATGGAATATTTAAAATTGTAATCATACTTACCTTCATCTAAATTCTGGTTATTTCAACCAAAATTCTAACAAGTCTAACTATAATTTAATATTAAATGTAGCTAAACTAAATTTTTTTTACCCACTAAATGAAATCAATAATTTTTGGCTTTTCAAGCATAAAAGATAACAAAAAGATTATTATTAGCCTTTTATTTTATTGCTGTCACATTACTCATTTTTATATTTGCTTCTCGATATGATTGTTAGTACACTAAATTTTTGTTAATCTTTTTTAAAAATATGTTCACTAGAGCGGAAGAAGAATATAAGGAATGTTGGTATACCGCATAGTTTGTTTTAGTTTAACATTGATTCACATATATGCGCATAGATTTAATGAGCATGATGAAAATTTTGTTTTTAATGATGTAATCCGGTTACGTATTTAAAAAAAAAAAAAAACATCTACACTTCATCAGATGAAAATTTCGGTGATAAAAGTAGATTTTCATTATCTTCTGTACTATAATTCCATTTCTGATAATTCGATTTTCTCGTGATAGAGGGAGAGGGAGAAAGAAGGGAATATTGGATTTATAAGAACAGTTAATCATCATTCGTCAGAAAATTTTTTTCTGAGAAAGAGAGAAAAGCACAGCTAAATCCGGGAAATTAACGAAGGTTTCCGAGTCGGCAAAATTTGGAGGGCTATAAGGGTGATGGCGGCGGAGGCGGCAGTAGTAGGGAATTATTTAGGAAGCCGCAGACTTCGTAATCACCCTACTACCTGACCCCTCTTGTTTCCGCGTCACTCTATCTCTCTCTCTCCTCCATATTGGTGCGCCGAATGTTGTCCCAAGTTTGCTCTTCTCTTGGTTTTCCGGCTGGAATAAGGGAGGAGGTTTTTTAGAGAGAAAAGAGAGAGAGAGAGAGAGTGGGAGATGAGAAGCTAACCGGTATGGAAAAAGGGGAATGATGACTGGAGTGGATTTCACAGAGAGGGCATGGGGTGGATGATCAGCCTTGGCAATCTTGAAGAGAACCTTGGCTAGTTTGTAAGCGCGTGCCGTTTCTCGCCAGATGGTTCATATTCTCGCCTTCTCCTTCTCTTCCATATGCGTGTGTGTGTGTGATTATTTACAATTCTTTCAAAAAGTCTGTGAAAGAAAGCTAAAGCCATTAGCTTGTTTTTAGCTTTTAGCTGCGATGAGATTATTTTCGTTATTTTTAAACAATAAAGTTAAATTATCAAATGATACTAGAAGATTCATTGTTGCACCTGAAGCATCCACAATTTGGATCTACTGTTATTAACAGTAGATTTAGATTTAGTTCTACTGTTAATAACAGTAGATCTAAATTGTGGATGTCGTCGTTCCAAATAGTTGTATAAGTATTAAATGAGGAATTATTGTATATATGACAACTTGAAATTCTCTATTTACCATTTGCAAAGTCTGTATTTCAGTTTGTTTGTGTTCTACACTTTCATTAGGATAATGTGAAGACAATTTGTTAAATTGCTTGTCGATGCTTGTGTGTTGAGAACAGATTGATGAACGCAACTCGAGCTAATCCCAGTATGAAAGCAGGTAATGGAAACTAATGAGTGGATTAGTTTGGGTTTCTAGTTCAGTGATTTAGAGACTAATCTCACTCGAATAAGGAAAATGATACGGAACTTTTGTAGTATAGGAATTTTGCTAAATTATTCGTAAAAATTATTTGTTAAAATAGCGATTTTTATTTGGCGAGTAACTATTGGTATAGTAGCAGGAGTTTAGGGCTAAAAATGGACGAACTGATCATCTAATTTCTTAAGTAATCATCTAAATCCTTAAATGATCATCTGAATTTATTTCCATTACAATCGGAGTCGAACTGATCTAATACGATTGTTGGGGAGAGACAACAAACCGAATTAAAATGACGACAAGAATGTAAAGCACATTTGTATTTGGTGGTGTTTTAAGATGAAAAATCCGTTGGATTTAAAATTTCCAGGTGATCCTGTTTTCGAAGTATAAAAATACTCAGATTACAGATTAGTTTAATATTTATTTTTTTGTATGCCTTGAAATCGTATTTTTATACTTCGAAAACAGGATCAGCTAGGATTTTAAAACCAACGAATTTTTCATCTTTAAACACCACCAAATACAAATTCTTGTCGTCATTTTAATTCGGTTTGTTGTCTCTCCCCAACAACCGTATTAGATCGGTTCGACTCCGATTGTAATGGAAATAAACTTAGATGATTATTTAAGGATTTAGATAATTACTTAAAGATTTAGATGATCGGTTCGACTCCGATTGCAATGGATTAACAAGAATTTAGATGATAGGTTCGACTCCAGTAAAGATAAATTTAGATGCTTTTTTAAAGTATTTAGATTACTTAAGGATTTAGATGATCGGTTCGATTATACCTGGAAATAAATTCAGATGATTATATAAGAATTTAGATGACCGTTTCGACTCCAGTAAAGATAAAAGATGCTTTTTAAAGTCTTTAGATTATTTAAGGATGATCGATTCATCTCCGATTGTAATGGCAATAAATCCCTCTGATTATTTAAGGATTCAGATTATCGGTTCGACTCCACTAAAGATGATTATTTAACTATTTAGACGATTTCTTAAGGCTTCAGATGATCGGTTCGACCTCTCTCTCTCTTTATCCGATAAAAAGGAGTTCCATATAAGGAACTTCACACAGCTCGAGCAGGTGGTATTGTGCAGATCTTTCGTGGGAGGATTTACGGTGTAAGGCGAAAAAGTGATAAACGAGCCGAGGGGATTGGCTTTCATGCGTGGTTCGGATTTGCAAAGATGCATGTAATAAGCGCTGACGGTTTTCTCCTCTCGGGTCCTTGCCAAAAAGCTCAATCCTTGTGTCGTGTGCGCCCCTTTTCTATATACATACATAAATATCTCTCTCTCTCTCTCTCTCTCTCTCTCTCTCTCTCTCTC